TTTTGTTTTATGAATGCCTTGACTTGTTCCTGTGGGAATGGAATGTTTTTTTTTTTTTTTTTTGATCTGTGACTCATTCTATATCCAATGGTTGTTTCCGAGCCTGTATCTGGATTTATTTTTGAATTTGAAATAAATTGAATTGAATTGATATTTGTTTAAGAGTTGATGGAAAGTGATTGTAAAGTTTAATACCAGAGCACCATACTCCTTTCTGGCATAGAGTCAGATTTACCACTGGAAAATGCAAATCACAATTAGATCTTGTATTAAAAGTATGAATATCCAAGTCCATTTTAGATAAATCTTTATTATTAATAACAAACATTAATAAAGGGAATATATACTGAGTAGAAAGGTAAAATAGACAGTTCCTTAAATGAATTTCGACAAGAATCCCTGCTGCCAGAATTTGCAATGATTCTTATTATCCTTTTTTTGGATTTTAAATATAATTTTAGAGTGAGTTGAGCTACCCCAAAATATTATACCGTATGAGATAATTGAATGGACTAATGAGAAGTAAACAACTTTTAAGGTCTCCAAAGACAATAACGGTTTCAAAAATCTAATTATTTAGGATACTTTATTTAGTTTAAGTATCAATTGTTCAATATGAGTATGCCATGATAAATTTCTATCAATTATTAAACCTAAAAATGTTATGGTACATACACTATTTGTATTTGTATTTTATTTTAATCCGTTTTGCTACATAGTAACATTTGGACACGTCATTCAGTAATATAAGTTAACAAAATAAATCTACACAGTTACAAGCATACTACGAACTATAGTGATTGATTATTTGTTAATTGTCTGTTTCCATATGAAGTATTTAAGTCAGCTGCATTAGTGATTTAGTTAAAAATTGAAAGAAATAAGTTTTTAACAGATTTAATGATAATAAATTGATATGAAACCTTCTATTAATTCTTTGTATGGCGGTATTTATATCTTTCAAACATTTGGATATCAGGGTTTGTAATTATCAGACTAGTGTCATCAGTAGATATACAGTGAGTCCAGGTTCTGTTAGGACTGTGTTCATTAAAAATACAAGACATGAATTATTTTCAAAATTTCACTCTTTTTATTCAAAATAGTTCCCTTCTGAATCAATATATAGCTGGAATCGATTGAAAAGTTTTCGGAAGCAGTAACTGTACTCCTTTTGTGGAATCGCATTCAAACTGCTGTACATTCCCTTTGGATGTCCTGGATGGTGTCGTGATGGTCTCCTTTCATCGCCAACTTAACTTTTGGGAACAACCAGAAATCTGCTGGAGCCAAATCTGGCGAATACGGAGGATGATCAAGGACTGTGATCCCTTTTCTGGCCAAAAAATCGCGCAACATCTTTGCTTTGTGAGGTGGGGCATTGTCATGGAGGAACGACCAGGAGTCTTGCTGTCGATATTCAGATTGAATTTGAAGAATTCGCGCCCACAAACGATTGAGGTCTCCGAGATAATAATCAGAATTCACTGTTTGACCTTCTGGAAGAAATTCCTTGTGAATGATTCCTTTGGAATCGAAGAAAACAGTTAGCAGTGCTTTACTCGACTCTTTTGCATGCGCACTTTCTTTGGTTTCGGCTTCCTTGGGCTCAACCACTCTGCACTCTTCTGCTTTTTGAGAGGCTCATATTGAAAACACCATGTTTCGTCACCAGTAACAATCGATTTTGTAAATTTTGTATCACTATGGGCCAACCGTAACATGTCTTTGCAGTGTTCCACTCTGGCATGTTTTTCATTGCCTGACAGCGCGTGCGCTACAAACCGCGCACAGACCTTCCGTTTGCCCAAATCCTCGGTCAAAATTTGATGCACAGTACTTTTTGGTATTCCCAAAAGCTCCTCGATGAGTCTTGCAGAAACACATCTGTCTGATGCAAGGATTTGGGTCACTATTTTCACATTTTCTTCAGTGCGACTTGTTCTCGGCTTTGATGCACGTTGAGCGTCTTCAGTGTCCTCCCTGCCGTCACGAAATACAGCATACCATCGAAAAATATTAGAGCGACTCAAACAATCACTACTATACACACTTTTCATCATTTCGTACTAGGGTGACCAACTCTCCCGTATTTCCCGGGATCTCTCGTATTAGAGCTAATTTTTTGGATCCTCCCGGCTCCCGTATTGACCTTCTATTTGTCCCGTATATTTCATTAACTATCAAGATCGCAAAGTTTAAATTATATATTATTCCCGCCAAATACATTCCGATATAAACTGTCATTATTATCGACAGTTTAGACTTAGAGGTACGCATCGATAAATATCGAAAAATTACCTATAGTAATCGATAAGAAGTTTAGCATATACTAATCGTTAGCGGAATATCCGTTTCCGGATTGTAATATATTCTGTTCTTGTTTCTTGCCGTGTTCATCCTCGTGCTTTTAAATAATTACCAAATTGAATCCATTTTCATAATGAGTAGTGACAGTGAAAGTGAAACAACACTGCAAAAACTCCTCCAAAGAAGAAAACTAAATACTTGTGTGTTTACGTGAGAAAATCAAAGCAGCTTAGAACTAATCAATTAAGAGTTAATGGTAGCAATTAATTATGACTATAGTTGTAAAGAGTTTTTTACACTTGCACAAGAAGATAAAAAATGCTTAGTTCTGCAGCATCAGTGAAAAAATATATATAGGTTAGGACTAAGAAACATGCAAATTTGTAAAATTTATTCTATATTGTGACCTGTATATTATATACAATGTAAATTAATTGTTTTGTTTAATATTATCCATTCCATGAACGTTTGCTGGACTGACGCCGCGCCGCTAAAAATGCGCAAAATTTGTCGTGACTAAATCTGCCTTAAATTCATGACCGAAAGTTGGTCACCCTATTTCGTACGCTTCTCTGGCTGTTTTGCCTAACTTCAAACAAAATTTGATGTTACCTCTCTGCTGAACCGCCACTTTCCGACTAGCGTCGGACAGAGTCAGAGTCAGAGTCACGTTGCAACTGACGGTCAGTCAGTATGTCTGTCTTGGTGTCGAGCCCCAGCTGGGGTTCATGACCAGATATTTCTTTTGAATGAAAGTTACTGTCTTGTCTATGTGTAGCGCCCTCTCTGACGAGAGGTCGGGTCTGTCATTTGTTAGTAGCGTCGGACTAGCTTACGCTTTGAAATTATAGACTTATAGACAGCAACAGCTGAAACTTCAAGAATCTTAATGCCACAACTCGCCAACAGATGGCAGTGCAGGGGGGGGGGGAAAGAGTCCTAACGGATCCTGAACACACCGTGTATGACAGGGTTTGAGATGTCGGATATTACATTAGGCATATCATTAACATTAAACAGAAAGAGCAATGGGCCAAGTATGGATCCCTGAGGGACTCCAACAGTAACAGGTTCCCACCTAGAATACTATTTACTTGAGTTAACATTAACTAACACACTCTGATATCTAGCTTGTAGATAGGATTTTATTAAGTTATAAGCTGTTCCTGTAATCCCATAGAATTCCATTTTGAACAACAAAATGTTGTAATTAACACTGTACACTATGCCTTATAAATTGTGATTTCTATGAAAAAAGATTGGCATAATGGAGAATACTCTCATTCTTGTCTCTGTTCTCTAAATTTTTAAAAAATTCTCATGCCAGACTGACAAAAAATTATTGTTGTACATATCTGACATTATCTGTATGTACTTGTACATTATATAAGCTTAAAAAATAAATCACACATATGAGGATGCCTCAGCTACACGCAAACACTGAAACTGAACTACATTCTTCTTCCAGAAAGAATTGTTAAAATAAGCTTAGAGGATATAATTGTTTTATTTAAAATTGAATAGCCTCAGTAATGTCAAACATGAATTCGTATTTTACTGCATTACTACCTTTGCATTTTAGTAACTAACATCATGCTTCCAAGTAAGATTGCATTCAGAACACGGAGATCAGAAATTCATGAAAAATTTTATTAAGAAAAACTGAAGGGAAGAGACCAGTTGAGAAACATGAACATAAGTCGGAACTTAATGGCTGTTAAAGAAACAGGATGTGAGGATGTGAGGCTGTGAGTCACCTGGGTCGCAATAGGTTTGAGTGGTTGACTCCTTTCATTATGTTAATGAGCCTTCAGGTCCCTTGAATTCCCAGAAAAAACTTGACAGACTGAGTGATTATCAGTTTCTCAAGAAGGACTCAGCTGCATGTAATTAGTTCACATTTCCCCCCCCCCCACCCTCCCTTCTTGAAACTATAACTATGGTGTATTATTAAACATTGTTCATTTGCGTCTTTTCAGTTTCGATTCTCAACAGGGTTAGAAAGACTTCTACTCTTTATTGGTTTTCTTGGGGCCCTTGCTACAGGAGCAACATCACCACTTAATATATGGTTGTTCGGTGAACTTAGTGGAGAAATGGTAGCATACGGTTTTGGCATTCTGACTGGGTCAAATCCTGATAAAAATGCATTCATGGATGCTGTTCAGCGCTTCGCAGTTCTGAACTCCATACTTGGATTTGTAATGCTGGTGTTGACATACTTGTCAGTCTGGACATACAATTTTGTAGCCAGTAAACAGGTAAGAATTAAATGACTTCATGACACATAAATATATTATGTTTCATTGTTGCAGCTTGCTACACTCCTCAAGAATTTAAATTCTGCAGTTTCGATTTTTGCTTCCCAGTTCTTTTTAGGAAGATATGATTTTCTTTTTTCTTAATGTTTTGTGGGAACATCCCCACATAACACGCTGTTCCGCCCGTTTTTCAGACAACACTCACTCCTAAGTGAATATCACACTGCCGGACATTGCGCTCAAATTTATACAGCACTCGCTGTCCAGCCCAACTTCGCATCATCACTGGCCAATCAGCGCTCACAATTGCAACTGCAAGTTTCTCTCCGCCCAAAAAGCATAATATAAAAGGCGGAGCCCAAAGCTCGCATTTGTCAGTGATCATATTCAGGTTAGAGCGATCAGTCATCAGAGGCATCAGCTCTTCTCTGTGACCAGCCAACCGACGTAGTTGCCGCAAGTCTCCAGAAACCATGCTCTGCGACCAGACAACTAACGCAGCTGCCGAAACTCCAGCAACGACACCGTGGCAGCTGTTTCCACCGGCGCATGCAGCACTACATCACCGGCCAGACAGGCCTAATATCAAGGAATAAACATCCCTTTTCAGGGCCCGCAAACTTTCTGAAGTGGTTGTCTATTGGAGTATCGACAAATCCCACATTGGTAACCCCGACTCAGCATGGACGCCGCAGACAGTTCGCAAGCAGCAGTATCCAGAGTGGCTGTGCGGCTCTCGCCGTTCTGGCCCAAGCGACCAGCCGTGTGGTTCGCCCAGGACGAGGCGCAATTCACCTTGGCCGGTATTAGCAGCGAGCACATTAAGTTCTGCCACGTCATCTCACAGCTGGACCACCGGTACGCCACAGAGGTGGAAGATATCATCACCTCTGCGCCCGAAAAAGACCCCTACAGCCTACTGAGGACCGAGCTTGTGAGGCGGCTATCCCCATCGCCAGAGCAGCGCATCCGGCAGCTCCTCACGGTCAAGGAAATTGGCGACCGTAAGCCGTCCCAGTTCCTGAGGTACGTCAAGAGTCTCGCACCAGACATGTCTGAGAACGTCATCCGAAGCGTCTGGACCAGCCGGCTACCCCGCAACGTGCAGAGCTTCCTTGCCGGCCAGAACGAGAGCAACTTGGAGCTCGCAGCCCTCTGTGCAGACCGCATCTCCGAGGTCGAAGTCCAGCCGGCGCTCACTAGTTGGTCAAACCACAGACAACGGCGCACTTCGGCAGGAGATCGCTGATCTCTCCCGCCAATTGGCCAGGACAGGACCGCCTTCACGACCGCTTCCAGGAGCTTGACCCAAACCTGAGAGACCGAGGTCCCAGATCCAAGAATTCCCATCCCGCCTTCAACAGCCGCCGGCCTGGCAGCAGATCCCCCTCCCGTGGCCACACCACATCCAGTACCTGCTGGTACCATCACCACTTCGGCGCTCGGGCGCAAAACTGTACTCCACCCTGCTCCTACTGCCAGCAGGGAAACTGACGCAGCAGACATCATCGGCGGCACATGTCTGAGCTACGATGACAGGCCGCCTCTTCATAACAGACAGAGTCAGCAAACGGCAGTTCCTGGTTGACACGGTTTCGGACCTCTGTGTATACCCCCGCAGGCTCGTCCCTCGACGCATGGAACGTACCAACTATGACCTGTGTGCGGCTAATGGCAATACCATCCACACATACGGATGGCTGCCTCTCAGCCTCAACTTGGGCCTAAGCCGAGAATTCATGTGGCGGTTCGTGATTGCCGACGTCACGCATCCCATCATCGGCGTGGACTTCCTATCGCATTTCGGTCTCCTGGTGGACTGTCGGAACAACCGCATTCTGGACGGGGTCACGATGCTGTCAGCCCCGGCCTCAGCGCCCAGCACACTGATCCCCAGTGTAAAGACCATCAGCAAAGACACACTGATCGACAACATCCTCACAGAGTTCCTGGACCTGACACGCCCAGCCGGAGTCCAGCGCGAAATACGACACAACATCGTCCACCACATCAGGACTACCTGGCCCACCAGTAACCTGCCGACCACGGCGACTGGCACTGGACCGGTTCGCAATCGCAAAAGCTGAGTTCGACGCCATGTTGCGGGATTGTACAGCTCGCCATTCTGAGAGTTTCTGGTCCTCATCACTACACATCGTGCCCAAGAAAGACAACGGTTGGCGTCCATGCGGCGATTGCAGAGCGGTCAACTCCCGAACCATCCCTGACTGCTACTCCATCCGCCATATCCAAGACTACTCCCACCAGCTTTTTGGCTGTTGCGTCTTTTCCAAAATTGACCTAGTGAGAGCCTACAACCAAATCCCTGTCCACCCTGAAGACATACAGAAGACCGCCATCACCACTCCATTCGGCATCTTCGAATTCCCATTTATGTCCTTCGGCCTGCGCAACGCCGCCCAGACCTTCCAGCGCTTCATGGACGACATTCAGCGGGGACTTGACTTCTGCTTTGCATACTTAGATGACATCCTTGTGTTCTCCCGGTCACTCGAAGAGCATGAACAACACCTACGTGCTCTCTTCAACCAACTCCAGAGATACGGGATCATTATCAGATTGTCAAAATGCGTCTTCAGAGCACCCAAGATCACCTTTCTCGGCTACAAGGTGTCCACCGAGGGTTCCGAACCTCTGGAAGACAGAGTGGCCCATCGCCAGGACTCCCCCCCTCTGAAGACCGACAGTCAGCTCCGACGATTCCTAGGCATGCTGAACTTCTACAGGCGATTTCTGCCCCACACAGGTACCACTGCACGACGTCCTCTCCGGACCCAAAGTCAAGGGCTCCCACCCCATTACTTGGACACTGGAGCGCCACAAGACATTCGAAGAGTGCAAGGCGAGTTTGTCACGCGCCACCCCACTGGCCCACCCTGATCCATCCGCGCCACTTGCACTGGTCACAGATGCCTCCACGTCCGCCATGGGTGCCGTGCCAGAACAACGTGTAAGGAACACCTGGCAGCCCCTCGCCTTCTTCTCAAAGAAACTCAACGCGGCCCAACAGAAGTGCAGCGCCTACGACCGTGAGCTACTGGCTATCTACGAGGCAGTAAGTCATTTCCACCATATGCTGGAAGCGCGTCACTTCACCATCTTCACAGACCACAAGCCAATCACTTACTCCTTCCAGCAGAAGCGAGATAAATGCTCACCCCGGCGGTTCAACCATCTAAACTTCGTCTCCCAGTTCACAACCGACATCCGACACATCTCTGGACAGGACAACGTTGTCGCCGACGCCCTCTCTCGCGTCAAGTCCGTCACTGTGTCACCACCTTACGACGTACTCGCCGCATCACAGGACAGCGACGATGAACTCCGAGCACTCCTGGGGTCAGCCACAGCACTGCGGCTTGAGAAACTACAAATCAGCAGTACTGCAGTCTTCATCTGCTGCGACACATCTACCAGGAGATCTCGGCCGTACGTTCTGGCGCCTCTACGTCTGAAAGTGTTCCAGTCCGTCCACGATCTGTCACACCCAGGCACTAGAGCAACAGCAAAGCTGGTCGCACAGCAATTCATGTGGCCAGGTGTGCAGAAGGATTGCCGCACCCGGGCACGTGCTTGCCAGTTCTGCCAACGCTCCAAAGTCTCCCGCCACACAGTCACTCCACTGGGTGACTTTACACCGCCGGCAGCCTGTTTTATGCACGTCCATATTGGCCTTGTGGGACCCCTTCCAACATCAGCGGGCTACACATACTGCCTCATTACAGTCGACCATTTCACCTGCTGGCCAGAAGTCCCCACTCCGGACATGACAGCCGACACAGTGTCATGCGCCCTACTGACCGGCTGGATATCATGCTTCAGTTGCCCGCAGCAACCACCCAGCAGCTAATGGACTCGTGGAACTCTTCCACCAGACGCTGAAGGCATCCATCATGTGCCACGCAGACCAACAGTGGACTGAGGCGCTTCCCCTGGTTCTCAGAATCCGCACTGCATTCAAGGAGGACCTGCAAGCATCGGTAGCTGAGCTCGTGTACGGCGAGCCCTTAAGAGTTCCCCGGGAGCTACTAACTCCAGCTACCGACCCCGCAGATCCAGCGCACCTCATCACAGAACTCCGCCAGCACGTGGCCCACCTCCGACCAGTCCCAGCAGCACGCCACGCCTCCCCAACTACTTTTGTGCACAGTGACCTCGAGAAGTGCACCCACATCTTCCTTCGGCAGGACTCAACTCGCCGGGCACTGGAGCCCCCTACACCGGCCCCTACCAGGTCCTGTCACAGAGAGAGAAGACGCTGCAACTCCTCGTGCGTGGAGGCACGTCACTGTATGAGCCGACAGGGTCAAGCCGGCCTACATCCAACAAGAGACCGACCGCGGGAACACCATCAACCCACCAGCTGCAGCGACCCCGACCGTAGGACCACCTGCCATGCCTACACAGTTCCCTACAAGAACTACACTCTCCGGTTGCCACATCCATTTCCCCGCTCGCCTGAACATATGAGCGTCAATTTTCGCAAGTGGGCGAGTGATGTGGGAACATCCCCACATAACGTGCTGTTCCGCCCATTTTTCAGACAACACTCATTCCTAAGTGAATATCACTACATCACTGGCCAGACAGGCCTACTATCAAGGAACAAAGTCCCTTTTGAGGGCCCTCAAACTTTCCGAAGTTACTTGTCTATTGGAGTATCGACAAATCCCACAGTTTCGTTTCAGTGTAGAAAGTTGGTAATGTAATGAGTAGGGCCCAGATTTTCTTTAAATGCATATGCAAATGCAAATTTTGAGGGTTTTTGGTTGTTATTGCATATTCTAAACATAAGAGCATATTTCTGCATATATGTTTGGAGTTAAGGATAATTTCAATGTTCTCTAACAGAATCGGTTTTGCCTGGGTTGTGGACATCCCTTGCCAGTTGCTATTCTCAACTCTCTGAGTAACGGCACTTTTACCACTTACAATACAAGCAGATAGCTTGGCAATTTCGAAAGGGAGGGGTGGGATTTTCCTGCATTTCTTTGACCACCACAGCGGACAGTAGAATCAGAGGGTTGGTCTCGAGATAAGTCTCTTCAGTTAATATGTTACTCTTTACTTTAATAGTCTGCGTCAATAAAGTGTTCGTGTACTGAAAATGCCTAAAGAAAAGTGCAGCAATGGATATTTAAAAATTCGGTGGGTGTCGGGTAATAGTGACTATTCAACAGACGGTGTCATTGTGTTCTGTCAAGTTGTCGCAGAGGAAGTAAAATGTGAAAAGAAATTTCAACTTGAACAACACTCAAGAACGACTGCACATATTATGGCAAAGAAAAGGAAGAAGAACACCACACCACAACATCTACTTCTTACACAGGTCAGACCCAAATCCTCTGTTAATACATTTTCAGCCAATCTTTGTAAGGCTTCAGTATGCAGCAACATTCCATGGAATAAATTAAGCCAGTTCTGCGATCATTTCTGGAGAAGTATTGTGTAATTCAAAAAATCCCAGATGAATCAACTATTAGAAGAAATTATCTACCTTTGCTGTATGAATCTACTGTGGAGTCAATCCATTCTGACATCTGAGGGAACTGTGTCTGGATATCGGTGGATGAGACAACCGATTTATGTGGCTGATACATAGCAAATTTCGTATTTGATAAGCTACGTCCAGACGAACCCGGGAACCCTCATCTTCTTGCTCGCAAAGTACTAGAGAAAACCAACCATAGCGCAATAGCAAGATTTGTAAATGGTTCTCTGTGACTACTGTGGCCATCCGAAATTGAGAATAATTGTTGTAGGGTGCTTGTATTACTCACAGATGCAGCTTGCTATATGTTGAAAGAAGCAAAGGCCTTACAAGTATTTTATCCAGATCTTATACACTTAACCTGTTTAGTGCACGGATTAAACTGTATTGCAGAAATAAATACGCGCACAGTTCCCAGCTGTTAACGATATAATTGCAAATGGGAAAACACTGTTTCTGAAAGCACCAGCTCGTGCCCAGTTCTACAAAGATTGCCTACCTCAGGTTCCTCTGCCACTGGAACCTGTCCTAACTAGGTGGGGGACATGGGTACCCGCAGTTTCATTTTGTCAGGAGAATTTCAATCAAGTAAAAGAAGTGGTTACAAAAGTTTAAGATGAGTATGCATCTGTCCATGAAGCAAAAGCGGTGTTTGTAAGTTATACTGTTTATCAAGATGTGAATTTTATCAATGCACATTTTTCTACAGTTTCAAAAGCCATTGAGAGCTTAGAATCTTGTGGTGCACTCCTTCACGACTCACTTCAACTCGTTCAGAAAGCAACTTATTCGCTGAATTCCGCCCCAGGCGAAATTGGAGAGAAGATTAAATTCAAGTTAGGAAAGGTGTTGAAATCGATCCCAGGACTAAAAAAGATTCAGTCAATTAGTCAGTACTTGAGTGGAATTAGTGTATCTTTGCCAGATAAATGTTCCGAACCTTCAGCGCCAGTGTATAAATACTGTCCAATCACGTCAGTTGATATAGAAAGATGATTCTCAGCCTATACACTCATTTTGATGCACAATAGATGTAGTTTGTCTCCAGAAAACATTGAAAGTCTTCTTGTTGCCTATTGTGATGCTACTTTCTGCAGTGAACGATACATGTAAATACGTGAGTCTGAATAAAGTGACCTGTTTATTAAGTGCATATTGTTTTATTTTTGGTGCATATTTTCCCGCTTTTTAGCGCATATTTTAAGTGCTTTTAGCGCATAAAGATCCGGGCCCTAGTAATGAGTTACCCATTTACTCTCTCTCTCTCTTGGTTACTGGTGATAATTACTTTTGCTAATAATTTCTGGGCTTCTGGACTTTGTCCATTGTCTTGTATTCTGAAAATAAATACATGCCACCAGTCAGATCTTTATAACTGATTAAGTTATTAATGGTTTGCTACAGTGTGCAAGTACATGCAGCAGACTGGTCTGTACATCTTTTCTGTTCTTATATGTCTACAAAGTTGCGATATGTGTGATATTTTTCTTTCCTCTCAGGTTCTCCGAATAAGAAGTTTGTATCTCAAATCCGCATTGTCGCAGGATATTGGCTGGTATGATGTACAGCAGACTGGAGATTTTGCCAGCAGAATGTCAGAGTAAGCTTAATTATATTATGAATTACATATGCATTCACAGCCCTGCAAGCATTTATTAAACTCATCTTAGCTGTCCATATCTTCTGTTTATATGCATGAAAGTACTACTGGATGAATTTTTGTGAAATTTTATATTTTGAAGTTATTATTTATTAATATGTTCCAATTTTGGTTAAAATCAGATAAAAATATGTAAATATTTATTGCAGAAAAAGATGTTTTAAACAAAAATTATCCAATACAGGTATTCCAAAAGTATGAAGTATAAACAGCATCCTTAAACCACATGTTTCATTTGAACAGTGAATATCAAATAAGTGACATACACGTAATTTGACTTGTGGTTTACAAACATTGTGTTGGTGTTTCAAAAGCTATGTTTCCCTGGTGACATATTTTGTTGCCTACCTCAGTCTGTAAACTGAGGTGATGAAAAATGAAAATAAAGGAGTGACTGCAATTTCAAAATGTTTGCTCATTGAAATACTTCACATATGATGGTTTGGTTGTAATTGATGTTATGAGAGATTCTTAGTAAAGTGCTTTCTGTCAATGAAAGAGTTCTTTGTCTAGTGGTTGAATAAGGCACCTCTTTCCAGGTGGAATTTTAAAAGATGTTCATAATTGTATCTGCTAATTTAGCAGGTTCTAAACAGCCTTGTTGGGCACACTCATAATAATGATTAAAATTTTTCTAATATGTCTTGAATGCATCATCCTTACTCATATTTTGTTGTCAGTATTATTTTAAAGTCGTACACTTCTTGCCTTTATCTTACATTCTTAATTTCTTTTTGGACATTTGGCAGTTGACTGAAATTTTGCACAGAATCATTACTTAATACGAGGGGGTACCCAAAAGAAACCGAACTTATTTTTTTTTTAAACTTATTTATTCAAATTTTAAGCACAAACCTTCAATCCCCTTCAGAGTACTCTCCACTTACACTAATACACTTGTGTAGTCTTTTATTCCATTTTTCAAAACATTGTCTAAATTCATCTTTTGAGATGCTTGACAGCGCCTCCGTCGTTTTTTCCTTCACCTCAGCAACATCAGCAAAACGCTTTCCTTTCATGTCTCTTTTCATTCGAGGAAACAAAAAAAAGTTTTGATCATTTCGGGACTCTTCTTTCAAAGCACAGCATGCTTCCACGCGACCTTGTTTTTGTTCAGCAGTCAGCAGTCGTGGCACGAATTTCGCAGCCACCCTTTTCATTCCCAAATCTTCTGTCAAAATTCGCTGAACTGAGCTCCAAGTCACTCCCGACAGCTCCACAATTTCTTCAATGGTCCGTCGTCGATCTTCCTTGATGATTTCACGAATTTTTTCAACATTTTCATGTGTTCGGGCCGTGGAAGGACGACCAGAACGAGGTTTGTCATCAATTGACATTTCACAATTTTTGAAACGGGAAAACCACTCAAACACTTTAGTTTTCCCCATAGAATCGTCCTTGTATGCCGTTTTTAACATTTCAAGAGTTTCTGTTCCACTTTTTGTGAGCAAAGAGCAGAATTTCACCGCCGCACGCTGTTCACAAAAATCAGCCATTGCAAAAACAACGATCACACAAAACAGTTGTCACTATAAACTCTGCCGAAACTAGTCCTTACCTTCTGAAGCAATGGTAGTCGGCTTATCGACTCAGGAATATTAGCTCTATGCACTCATAGCGGCAAAACGCGGTACTACAAAAGCTCTGCCCACAAAAAAATTAGTTCGGTTTCTTTTGGATACCCCATTGTAGATTGTGCTACCACACAGTTTTTCAGGTTAGTTCCTTAATTGAGTAATACTCTTCAACTGAAACACAAGACTGCTAGGGGGTTAGCTGAGGAAGGGGACACACAATAAATCAAATATGGTCATGGTGTAAGGGTCACTATGGCCCACCCTTTACCTTTTATTTGCACTCTACAGCCTAGTTCTTTAACCTGCTAATTAATGGAGAAGTAATGTATGAAGAATTGTAATGTATTTCTCATACACTTTATTATTTGCATGTACCAGAGATTTAACAAAGCTCGAGGATGGGATTGGAGAGAAAGTGGTTCAGTTCATGCATTTTATGGCAACATTTCTTGGCTCATTGATAATGGCTTTCACAAAGGGCTGGCTTCTGTCTCTGGTTTGCTTAGCTTCACTTCCTGTCTCATTGGTGTCTGTTGGAATAGTGGGTGTGGTAAGTATTCACTCCATTCAGGAATTAGCATTCAAGCCAAGTCCTTGCAAAATGTTTGTAGGAGTTTTTTCTCCCCTCCTGTATTCCACATGTGGATGTCTTCTTAAATTTTCACAGTTTAAATAAACATAAATTCAGTCAGATTAAGTGGCCCATTTTTACCAAGGCATGGTGCATCCTGAGGTCATTATGCAAGAAACAGTCTCAGATATGGAATGTACTGTGAATATGTCAAATAAAGTACGCAGGTTCAAACCCGGCAGAGGTCATGGAATTTTTAAGAGCAGAAAAATTCAGGGAACATGTCCTCTGGGAGGGACTTTAAGCCGTGGGTCCCGTGTCGTAGATTTACGACACGTAAAAGATCCTCGTCTCTAGGAGACCTCTGAGCAAAATTAGGCAAAAGTTTCCCTCTGAAGTAGTTTCCAATTCCTACGGTAGATGAGGAAGTATCAGATACCACTTCCAGAGAGGTGGCCGACCTCGCTGGCAGGACGGAGCTGATAGCGAGCACCAGTACTGGCAGGGCATGGCGACTGGTAGAATATCAAAGGGGGACGTACAATAGACTATTAGTCGCAGTGCACGGGGAAACCCACCCCCTCTACAAAATATAAATATATAAATAAAAATGTAAATGTTCGTTCGTTCAGGATCCTAAATCTCCGAAAGTTCTTCACCAATTGCTTCAAAATTTTGACACAATGTTGCATTCGAATGCACGCATGTTTTTATATACCTGTTATATAGATGTCACACCTGTGACAGGCAAAAACATGCTTCTTTTGAAAAACAGAATTGGAATTTGGAATTCAGAAGAGTCGCCCCTATGGAAACGCTAGAACAGACCATTGCATAGGAAGTAACAATAGCGATACTGTATCGAATCTCCATGGTTACGACGAATACACGGAGCGTTCCCACAGAGACAATGCAATAACAATGGGTCGTTGTGTAGGAATCGCAGAATCAACAAAGCAGTGTTTCCATGGTTATGACAAAGGCTCATCGCCCAGTCAGTCTTGGAATAGCTGCCGCTGAAGAAGGTTGGAACCTAGATGCCAAGAGATACAGAAGTATTGGCCGAGAGATTGTGTAACCAGCAACTCTAATACTGCAAGTGGCAATAATTGTAAAGTGTGCAGGTGAATTACAATAAAGATTCGCTCTAATTAATACACCGTAAAGTTATTTGTAGCGTGACATACCCAAACACGCTACATGCATTACTGACGCATGCAGCACGTCACATCCACATCAGTGCATTGTTTGCAATCATATTGACCGCCTGCTCTCCTTCATCTCCAACAGAGTTATGGGAGAAATATAAATCGCACATGGCTGAAGGTATTTTCCGTAGAATACGCAAGGAAAATTCCAATATGAACATGGATTTCACAGCAGAAATCTGCAATGAAGCATTGATAATGATTGAAGATTTGTGCTTAGAAATCGCGAACAAAGTTCTCAATCAATTGGGAATGCCATCTCTGAATCGATCTGCTGCTGCTTCATTCAGTGTAGAATTGCGTCGTGAACAAAATTACAACACGGGTGATCTTTTGTCATATGTGCAATCAAATATTCCTAAGCTAACGCTTGAGCAAAAAGGCATTTACGATCAAATAATGCAAACTGTCAATAACGGGGTTGCAGAATTATTCTTCTTAGATGTGCCAGGAGGAACTGGTAAAACGTTCCTAATTAGATTGATTCTGGCAGCAATTCGATCCCAAAATGACATAGCCTTAGCTCTTGCATCGTCCGGAATAGCTGCAACATTGCTACCAGGTGGAAGAACTGCTCATTCCGCTTTGAAATTGCCATTGAACATGCAATTCATTGAAACTCCCACGTGCAACATTTCCAGAGCATCAGGCATGGAAAGGGTATTGCAGAAATGCAAACTTATTGTTTGGGATGAATGCACAATGGTGCACAAAAAATCGCTCGAGGCTCTTCATCAATCATTGCAAGATTTGCATGGAAACATCAGACCATTTGGGAACACATTGATATTGCTTGCAGGAGATTTCAGGCAAACATTACCTGTAATTCCTCGATCGACACCAGTGGATGAAATAAATGCTTGCCTGAAATACTCTACATTGTGGCGACACATAAAGATGTTAACATTAACTACAAATATGCATGAATAGCTGCAAAACGATCGATCAGCTAAGATATTCTCGCATCAATTGCTGGAAATTGGGACCGGAAAGGTGCCGGTTGATCTGACCTCAGGACGAATTTCATTGCCTCATAACTTCTGCAATTTAATGATGTCAAAAGAAGAATTGGTTGAAAAAGTATTTCCGAATATTCAATCCAATTATAAGAATCGCGATTGACCGAGTGAACAAGCTATTCTTGCGGCCAAGAACAAAGACGTCTACGAACTTAACAATATCATTCAGCCTAACATTCACTGCGAGGCAGTCACATACAAGTCTGTCCACACTGTTGTGGAAGCAGATGAAGCTGTTAATTATGCAACAAAATTTTTTAATTCACTCGATCTGCCACAGCAACATGTGGCCGGGTACAGCTAGTAATAATAATAATAATAATAATAATATAATGAGATTCCATTTACAGCACATCCACATGCACTCCCTTTATCCCACAGCTTCAGAAACGAAAATAAGACAAACTTCATGAATAGTAACTTGACCATATTTAAGTCATATCACAAAGGCTGGAGCAAAAACAAATACTACTGGCACACTTTCTTATACTTATTTTATATATAGAAAATCTAACCTACACAACTCAGGGAAATTTTAAAAATTTAATCTTACTATTTATCAGACCTCATAACATAGCAGGTAAACTTAAAAGTTTATGTAGTTTAACCTGTATTTTTTGGAGATCATGCAAACAGATAAGATAGTCTGACTTGAATTGGTTAGTTACATTGCTGTTCATTTAATTGGTGGCAAACTGTGGTCCAGAAGTCATATGTGGAAATGCAACCACATGATGTGACAGTTCTAACAACCTATTCTCTCTATTTTTTCAATGGTGCAAAAGAACAGTTCTGGGCTTACAGTCAAGTAGTGAATCTACATGCTTCCCTACCATGGAGCATATAAAGCTAAGAAAGCTGTGGTCTATAAGGTACACGCTGCATACAGTTGATTCAAAGCAAAACATTTTATCTTTTAATGAAAGGGGAAGACAGCATTTCTTTTATATATTCCTCAGTTTTATTAGTCTAGCAGCTCAGTACTAGCCAGACAGAGCTGAATTTATCTGTGAACATCATTTTAACCTACTTTCTTGAGCATACAACAAGGTTCTGCATGAAATATTCCTTTTTATGTTAATTTAATGATGGTGTGAAATATTGAGGTTACATCTAACAGTCTGAATGTAGTGGAAATTATGCACAGAAATAGATCGCTAAATTGTATACAATTTTAATTTAGTGCATTTACTACCCTCACCATAAGTTTCGAAACATTTTGATTGTTAGCAGTTGTCATAATTTCTTCCTAGAACTTCTTGGTCTGTATTACTGCCATTTTCAAGTACTAAATTATATTTTATGATCTCTCACTTATCCCAGATCTCATCAAGACTGGCCAAGAAGGAGATGCAAGCCTATGGTCTAGCTGGTTCCATTGCTGAAGAGGTTCTGAGTTCTATCAGGACCGTTATAGCATTTGGTGGTCAGGATTCTGAGGTGAAGAGGTATGATTAATGATACTGCAATTAATATATAATGGTCAATCAAAATGTTCCCCGAATTCCCCTACAGACGGAGAAAGAGAGATAAGATAGTGCATGCATTATTGTGGTGGGGAGCTCAGCATGTCTGCTCACAGGTGCAACAGGTCTAAACAAGTTACGTCATGCAGTATGTTTACTCTTCTATTTGAGTTAAATGTGAATGTTAGTTATTCAACACAATGTCGCAGTTTGAAAAGCTTGCAGACATGAAGTTCATGTTCAAATTGGGCAAATCTGCTTCAGAAACACAAAAACAAAAACAACTCCATCCAATGTGTCCAGTGGTTTCCGAATAAGTATTGATGTTCCCTCTGAAGATGATCCGTAAGGATCAAAACATGTAAGGGTGCTGAGTTTTCGAGTGGTAAAACTTAAATAGTCATGCTGAATGAAGTTGTTTTTCTCTTTGTAACTGTCAATGTGATGGACCAGAATGAAACAAATCAAATTCTGCTTCATAAACGCTATCAGCCCTGCAGCAAGTTTATGGTGATACTGTACTAAAGAAATTCGCAGTTTACGATTGGTTTTCCCAGTTTAAGAATGGCCAGGAGATAAAGGAGGATGACCAGCATAGCAGGAGGCCTTCAACATCTAGAACTGAAGATACTGAAAAAGTGCAACAACTGATTTGATCTGATCAAAGAACAACCATCACACCGTTTGATCTCTCGTGGATCCATTCATGCAATTCTACCTGATGATTTGAAGGTGAGATATCTCAATGCAAAGTCCATTCCAGGGCAGCTGACCACAGTTCAGATGGAATGTCGCATGATGGTCACTGGAGATCTGTTTGAAAAAGTACGCAGGACCCGATGTTTCTCAAAAAGATCATCACTGGTGATGAGTCATTGGTTTTCGCCTATGACCCATAGATGAATATGCTCTCATCAGAGTGGCACACAGCGTCGTCTCCCTGACCAAAGTAATCATGCCTCATCCGATCCAAGGAAAAAGTAATGCTCATTGCATTCTTTGACATTGACGGTTTGGTGCACCATGAGTTTGTACCACCTGGACAAAGTGTTACTGGTCATTTCTACATGCAGGTTTTGCAGAGGTTGCACAATGCAGTTTGGAGGAAGTGGCGTAACAAGTGGCAGGGACAGTGGTTTCTGCATCATGATAATGCACGAAGCCACACAGCACTTGTTGTGCACCAGTTCCTCGCCAAGAAAAACATTCCTGTTATCACCCATCCACCATACTCTCCAGATCTCGCTCCAAGTGACTGCTCTGAAAATGGGCCTTGAGTGGACATGTCTTGCAACTGTGGAGGACATAAAATCAAATGTGAAGACTGAACTCTAAAAGAAGCCTTCCACCGGTGCTTCCTACAATGACAGGATCGATAGAGCCAGTGTGTGTGTGTGCGGGGGTCCCACTTTGAAGGTAATTAGGTAAGTGTTGCCATATGTCCTACCATTACAGTGTGCTACCACCATTCTGGGAACTTTTTGACTGCCCCTCATACTTCTCTGATATGTATTAAGTTTTGGATTCTGTCGTCGTATTTCCTCAATACCAGATGTTTCCAGACATCAGTATGTGAAAACCAAATGTGTGTACAAGTCCTTTTGACATTAAGGCTTGAGAGACTACAAAGTGCATTCAAAAACAGAGCAGTTTATTTATTTATTCTTTATTGTACAAAATATAAATAAGAACAAAAGTACCTTGATTCTTCAATGTAATCTTCTAGCTTCTCCATACATTTGTTACTTCAGTTCATGAGCTTCCTGATGCCATCTATGAAAAGTGTTTCTGGTTGTGTGTGAAGCCATCTATGCACTGCATCCTTGACCTCTTCATCATTTTTAGATTACTGCCCATGTATCAAATATTTAAATAGTCCAAAAATATGGAAATCAGATGGGATGAGATCTGGATTCTGTGCTGGATGAGAAACAGCACAAATTTCCGTTTTCAGATCATTTCAATGATTGCTGCTGCCATACTTGTTCAAACATTGCCTTGATGCAAAATGACTTCTATTGACATCAACTGTGATAATCCACTGCACAAAAACCTCCCCTTCATAATGTCACTGCAGAAATCACACATATGCCTGTGTTTCCACACATGTCTCTGCTCATCTTAAGATGCTGTGGCGTGCCCCTTGCACAGGTTTTGTGATACTGAAGATTTCCATATGTGGTTGAATATGCAGATCCACAGCAGGTGTCCAACTCCTAGGCTATATCAGTGACAGTAACCAATCTGTTCCCATAAATTAGAAAATTAACTTGTTCAACATTGTCTGCCGTTCATGAAGTGGTCAGATGGGCCCCAGCAATCTCCATTAATGATGCTTGTTCTACCATTTTAGAACCCTTCCACCCATTGGAATCTTGCTTGCGTAATTCAGTTTTCTCCATATTTTGCTGACATTATTCTGGGAATCTCAGGGTGTTTTACCCCACCTGAACCACAGAAAGTGAATGATGTTATATTGATTGACAATGGTGGATTTCAGAAGCTGAGCTGACATGTTTACATATGATTGCATGAGTTTCACCAAACAAAGCAACAACTCCAGGACCTGCCTAAGCTGTCTCCAGTATGTGGTATATATGATGTCTGCAAGAGCACTGTCTGACAAATTTCCAGGATTTTACATGCAAATCCCTTATTTGTCTTAATTCTACTCGTTGTAGATTCAATTGTACTTATGAAATACTGTGCAGCTGTGGTGGGCTGCATAAGGTGACTGTGTATTCTGTACCTTCACATAAATGATTGCACTGTGAGTTCTAAAAAGTGCGCTATTCATATTACATTCTTTTTGCAGGTATAAAGCCAACCTTATTTATGCCAAAAACATCAATGTAAAAAGGGGATTTCTCTCAGGACTTGGATTTGGAATCCTTTGGTTCTTGATCTATGCAAGCTATGCACTAGCATTTTGGTATGGTGTTGGTCTGGTGTTGGAAGACAAATATAAACTTGAAGATGAAATTGTGTACACACCACAAACTATGGTCACAGTAAGAAATCATTCTTTATTTAGTTGAGTTATATCCTAGAAGAAACATAACATCATATCCTTTTGGTGAATGGTATTCAACTTTTTTTACTCACAGACTGGTAAACAATGCATTTGCTGTCTCACATTTTACATTACAAATAATACCCTACATATCTAATTATTACAAACATGTCTAAACATGTAAGTTTTAAGGTTTTCATGGCGTTGACAATGAAGAAAGTCGTCTTCTGGGATCTGGTGCCATGTATTCTTTGTTTTAGCCGACGTTTCGGAGGAACGTATCGCCTCCATCTTCAGAGCAGGTGAATTGCGTTGCGAATACAGATAGCAGTAGCTATCTTCATTGTCATCGCCGTGAAAACCTCAAAACTTACATAGTGTTCCTCTATGGGGAGGCTACTCATCGATACATTCGTAGACTTGAGACGCTGCGTACCAAGAAGTCCAAGCTACTGTGCACCCTTCCCTTCCTCCTTAGATGCAGAGACCATGGCATCGTACCTCATTTCCTTCAGTTCCAACACCACATAACCTCTGACGCTGCCAAAAGGATCTACAGACGCACCAGCTTCTCTATGCTACATGAACTAAAAGGGTTTTGTCTCAGGAAGTCATGGAAGCCTCTCATCTCTTCCCTCAAGAGAACTCCACCAAGTCACCCCAGTTCTTCTTCATGTCATTGACGTCAGTATCCCACCCCCTGTTAATCATGTCATTGACGTCAGTAGTCTGTCCCCAGCCAACCAGTTCTTCTTGTCTAACCGCACTTCCATGCCATTGACCTCCAAGTTGCCTGGATTCACTGGCCGTTTCCCCCCTCCCCCTTCGCCACCCAGACCATATGAGGCCTTATTCGCTCTTCACTGTTCCCATTGGTCCCCTCTCCCTAACCACCCCCCCCTGCCTACTTCCTATATAAAGCAGCGCTTTTCACTTCATAATCATTACAGCTACTGCTTTCTGTATTTGCAACGCAATTCACCTTCTCTGAAGATGGAGGCGATACGTCGGCTAAAACAAAGAATACACGGCGCCAGATCCCAGAAGACGACTTTCTTCATGTCTAAACATGTTTATTTACAGTATAAATACATCTATTAAGATTTTAAAAAAGCATTTAATTAAAGAGACATTATGAGCACCCACACTGAACATTTGCAATTAAAAATCATGCACTTATGTATGTGAAATAATTTAATAGGTGTTGCACTGGGTGTTTGAAATGATGCATAGTACAGTGTGATTCTCTTGCTAGGAAACCCAAACATTCCTGAATAACTTTTTAATTTTTATATGGTTCCCTATGAAAATTTGCATGGACGGAGCTTACGTCTATTGAAGCAGAACCATCACACCCCTCAACAAAGTGGACTGTACTCATGACATCGATACTTGACCGCCAAATAGACATTTGACTCAGTGTAGAGTTATTGTATGTGCTGTAAACATGTACTCAGCTGAACAGCGTGGGTTTTTTTTTTTCCTTGGCACTACAGCCCCAGTGGGCCTAGACCTACCTCCATGAACTTCTCCATTCACTTTGGTTTTTCTAGATCTTACACATTTGGTAGGACTCCTAGGGCGGGTGATCAGCTCGTCGCAAGGCCTCTACCTGTACACAAACACAGAAAAACGCACACACACGAACTAAACATCAATGCCCTGAGTGGGATTCAAACCCACAATCCCGGTTTCCAAGCAAGCGAAGACAGTACATGCCTTAGACACAGTGTGTGTTTACTCTTCATGAATACCGGTGAATGTGTGCATTTAAACAATGTCAAAGGGCATTTTGGAATAAGTATGGTGAAGGAATTGTACCAAAAAAAATCCTGTGTGCACAAAAGGATGAAAAAATTAGTGACCACGGAAAGTGTTCTGACTCGTCATGGACGAGGCCTGAAGATGTGTGATCGCACAGTGCAGGATGTGAAGGATTGATTACAGGCATCGCAAAGAAAATCCTTAAGAAGACTTTCGCAAGAAACTGGCATTTCTTATTCCACATGTTAAAGAACTGCCAAGAAAGCGAAACTGCACACATGTCTTTTGTCCATAGTCCAAGAGTTGCTTCTAATGGATTTTGGTTTCAACATTTAGTTGGGGAACTTCCGGGGATTTTGCAAATTACATGGTTTACTTATAAAGCCTGGTTTCATCTGAGTGGCTACATAAACTTGCAAAACACGTGTGTATGGGAAGAAGAAAACCCACATGAAATTCATACGGAGCCTTTACATTCGGAGAAAATCAGGGTGTTGTGGGCCGTGTCCCATATCCTTCACTCGGATTGTTACCACAGAGATGTACTTGAGCATATTCAGTGAATTTGTGAATCACTTCACAGATGACAAATTAATGGAAGGTTACTTTCAACAAGATGGTGCAATGTGTGATACATCTAATTCAAACATCAGGGAAATTGAAAGGTATTTCGGTGACCAACTAATTTAAAAAAATCTGTGACCCCTAAGATCACCAGACCTGACACAACCTGATTTCTTCTTGTGGGGTTTGCTGAAGTTGTGTGTATACAGCAGTAAATCATGAACAATTGACACCTTCAGAGATGTGATATGGAAGGAGGTTGCTGCCATTACCAGATGTCTTGCCAGTTTGCAGACTCACGTACAAAAGTGCTTGGATACTGGAGGGGCCCATTTTCAGCATATGCTCTAGGCAGACCATGTTTTCCAACATACAAGGTAAGTACATGTCAGTTATCATAGGGAATCATACATAACTTAAAAAGTTATTGAGGAATGTTTGGGTTTCCTAGGGCCGCTTCTGTGGTCTAGTGGTCGGAGGCCCTGGTTTCGATTCCCGGCGGTACCAGATTTTCTGAGAAGTAGTGGGTCTGGAACGGGGTCCACTCAGCCTCATGAGGATAATTGATGAGCTACTTGAATGGAAAAATAGCAGCTCCAGTCTAGAAAACCGAGATTAACGGCCGTGGGAATTCGTTGTGACACCCTCTATCTGCAAAAGTTGGCACTAACTTCACTGAAAAGTGGCGGTCACTCAGTCGGTATAGTTTGCTTGTGGACTAAAAGCCATGGAGTTTGTTTATTGCTTCCCATCTACGGTGAGAATTTCCTGTCACATCAAGCTGTTTACAATTGGGTGCAGAAGTTCTCTGAAGGGCGGACACGTATCAAAGATGAACACCATGTTGACCAGCCAACGGAGATTGCCACAGAGGTGAATGTGCAACGGGTTGAAGACTTAATCCGAGCAGACAGAAGGGTAACTATAGACACTATAGCCACTGCTATTGGTTGTTCACATGGTATGGCCTACTTCATAATGCATGACAGGTTAGGTTTTCACGAAGTCTGTGCATGATGGGTGCTGCGCATGCTGACCTCACAACACAAAATGCAAAGGATTGGTCTGGCATTACAGCATTTAAATCGCTACCACGATGAAGGACACGATATACTAGCCCAAATTGTCACAGGTGATGAGTCTTGGGTTCACCATTAACAGCCTGAGAGTGAGCGTGTGTCAATGAAGTGGAAACATCCTGCGTCCCCTGCCAAAAAAAAGTTTAAGGTGACACCATCCTCCAGGAAAGTGATACTCCCAGTTTTCTGGGATCATGAATGCATACTGCTCACTGCATTCCAGCCTCAAGGACAAATCATAAATGCCAACTCCTACTGTAACATCCTCAGGAAACTTCGTAAGGCCATTCAACGGAAGCGACCAGGACTCCTCACCAAAGGCGTGTTGCTCTTGCATGACAACATGCGTCCCCATACTGCCAACAAGAAAAATGAGACGCTGCGAAATTTCAAGTGGGAAGTCCTCAAGCATCCTCTGTATAGCCCCAACCTTGCTGCAAGCGACTTCCATTTTTTCGGCCTTCTTAAACATCATCTTTCAGCTGAACATTTTCCCAACAATGAAGCTGTAGAAAGGGAAGTCACCACCTGGTTCCAACAGCAGCCCAAAGAATTTTATGCTGCTGGTTTTCAGGGGCTTGTTCTAACTGTCTAGTGCGTT